GTATAGTATTTATTACTCCTATATATCGGGGGGGGGGGGGGGGGCGTACTCTCATGTTTTGCATGCCGTAGCGGTTTGACCATTGACCACACGCGTCCTCGAGAAGACGGCGCATTTTTCCTACAGGACTGATATGACCGATGGGGGGAAGGGGGGTTGGTGCGGGGGTCAAAGATCTTGGCGATTGTGCAGAGTTGTCTTGGGGTTTTGGCGATATTTTTTCAGATTTTTTCCGCGTGTATACATGCCCGGGATGAGTTTGGACCTCCCTGGGTGCGTGCCCTTGCGAATGGCTAGCCCCCCCCCGCTCCCGCCCTGAAGAAACCAAGGCCGGTGATTCGCGCCGCTAGATGGATGTAGGGGGCGACAACGACGAGCACGCTTTGCATCTGCAGTGCTTCCAACCCGTGCGTTTAGAGAGAGAAGACGCGCTTACAACCCTACCAAAACCCTGAGCCATGGATACGTATGTACGTTCCTTTCTTTTGTGTTTCTCGCAACCCAGAACGCCCATGAGCCCGAAGGACGGCGGAGCTCCCTGGTCAGGCAGTAACGACGGGGGCGAGTTCGGCGAGGAGCTCAAGCGCGCGCACGAGCACCAGAACAGCAAGATGGCGGCGGAGTCGGCGGCGGCCGCGGGAGCGGCGGCGGCGGCGGCAGCGGCGGCGGGGGAGGCGTTGGCGGGGACGGGGGCAGCGGGCGCGGACACCCCGGCGATGACAAACTCGTCCACCTCCGGCGCCGATGCCGCCGACGATGCCGAGAAACACGACCCGTCGGAGGCGGCGGCATTAGCGGCGCCGGCGCCGGCGGGGGAGAAGGACGCGACCGCACCGACGGAGTCTCCGAAACCCCCCGCCGCCGCCGCAACCGTTGACGACGAGGCGGCGGTGGCGGGTTCGGGGCCAAAAACGGACAGCCCTGACGATGAGGCGGAGGCGTTGACGGCGGCGGTGCCGGCGATGGCGACGGCGCCGGAGGCGTCGGCACCGGGGGAGGAGCAAGCGGAGGAGGTACCGGGGGTAGAGGGTGGGGACGGGGCGGAGATGGCGGAGATGGCGGAGATGGCCGAGCTTGAGCCCGGGAAGGTGCGGGTGCGCGCTCTGTACGACTACGAGGCCACGCAGGAGGGAGACCTGAGCTTCGGGGTGGGGGACATGATCATCACGGACGGTGGAGCGTTTTCGGGAGACGGGTGGGTGTCGGGTACGTGCCACGGGAATACCGGGATATTCCCGGCGAACTACACGGAACCGTGGTAACCTGACGGGTGGTGACGGGCAGGAGGGACGCGCGGTGGTGGCGTGACGATTTGAAGGCGGCGTCGGTTGCTCTTTTGTGTTGCCTTCGACACACCTGGTCTTTTAACTGTTTTGCTTTTGTTTTATTGTGTTTTTTTTGCACGCGAGGGGGGGTGTTTTTGTCCGCATTTCGAGTTTCCGGAGAACCGAGAATGGGGGAGAGGATGAGGGCGGGTCTGCCCCTGTTGTATTGCTGCATCTTTCACGTAGAGTCATTCACGTCCTGGGGTCCGGACGAAGACCCCGCTGTTTAGCAAGACGCACCCTACAGAGAAGAGGATGGCTTGGCGCCCAATACCTACAGCATAGTCGTCTTGTCGCAGTGTGCCTGGCGGTCTTCCCACCCCCCCACCCCCCCCCCTCCACTACCGATGCACGTACATGTGGCGCACGCGCCAGTATGGTAAGGAACAGGTTAAATTCATTGTTGTAGACGTACGCACGACACCGTGGGGGTGTTTCCATGTATACGTATTTTTGTTGTTTCTGTGAGTCGCATTTGCTTGCCGCCGTGCTCCTTTTTTTCGTGTAATTACCATGGCCGCTGGCTTGGTGGCAAGCAGGCAGGCCGGCAAGGGTGTTGCAGCTTCTTTTTTTTTTCGCGTTCGTGTTTGTCGGACGGTGTGTGATTGATGGTCACGGTTGGCTTCGCTTATTGAGAAACGGAACGAACGGCGGCGGAGATTAGTACATTCACTCACCCATTCGTCCATCACTCACTACTGTTGATACCCAGCAAGCATCCGTGGCAACCTGTGAGGCCGGCGGGCACTTCATTAACACCCTCGCGATAAGAAATGTCTCGTGCTGCGTGCGCTACTTCCTGCTGAACGCAGCACTTGGAGCGGTTTGTGAGTGGGCCTTTTCGCCCTGCCGCGTTGGTGGCCACCTAGGTAGTTACCCACACTGACTGCTGCAGCAGCCAGAGAGATACATACATTTTTGTGGTGCCGCCCAGAAAAAGACGGTGTTGCGAGCGCGGCTTATACGTGGGGTGACCCCGATGTTTTTGAAGGACAAGTAGATGTGTCGGGCGTTTGGTGCACCTATTAATTGCCGTTTGACCAGGACGATGGACCGCCCGGCCGGATAGACTAGATAAATATGTCATCTGGGTGGTAGAGGAATCAATAGGTATGTTCATGGGTGTATCTGCGAGGCAACCTCTCAAAACAAAGGTTGTCTTGCTACCGCTGTTGTAGCTTCACACTTGAAAACCTTTGGCGTCTATCCAGGACCTCAACCTCTTCCTCCGTGTGCTCTTCCGAGCAAACAAACGAAAATATTCCATGCTACAATAATAGCGTCGAAAGATTTGTGGTATAGTACTTCCATAATTGTTTTCGGCCGCAAGCTAGATCAATTCAACTGTTCAAATCAATGAATCCAAGGCCGACAAAACCTCTCCGAAACAGGGAGTGAAGCCCCGAAACTCCAGTTCGGAAAAACCTTCACGCTAAACATTCTCGGGCGGGGCAAAGAGAAGTAAATGGATGGGTCTGTGGTCTGCGGTCCACACACACGACACGACACTATAAGCGCCGTACCCACCGCCCTCGCTACTCAATTCGCGTACCCCCCGAAAACCACCACCGAGTTTGTGAATTCGTCATACCATTCCAGCAAAGGATATACAGCAGTAGTAGAGTAGCTGGGCATGGGATTGCTGGTGACTGCCGCCAGACGGGCTCGTGGTGTAGCGCGCCTGGCCATCTCGAAGGATGCCTCCAGCAGGTACATGTCCGGTCTTCCGCCGCCATACACCCCGGGCGACACCCGAAAAGGTATCAGTGTTGTCGGGGCTGGCAGGATGGGGATGATCAGGGCGGAGGGCATCATCGCCAACCCAGGCACGCGACTAGTGTCTGTTGTGGATCCCGACAGGGAGAAGGCGACGGCGCTGGCGGAGAGTTCGAACGTCCCCGCCTTCTGGTGAGGACTGGACTGGAGGTATTTTTCCATAACGTACCCACAGCCATTTGTCAGTACACACAGCGTAGCCAAAGCCACGAAGATATGGTACCGTGTGTGTGTTACGCATGAAGACTCCGTGGCCTTTCAGGCTGTGCAAGCACTCGAGCGAGAGAAATACGAGAGTCAGACAGACACCCGCTGTTGTTGACCGCGGCGGCTAACGAGCGCGCAGTCCCGCTCAAGTGCTGTACTTCACTACGAGTCGCCAACTTCAACTGCTGCTGTTACACTGGAGGCCGCCAAAAAAACATGTTTGTTTGGGTGTACATTCGTGTGGTGAGCAGACAGGTGTACTTCACATCATCGTATTTTCGAGATTTGGCTTCGGCCTGCACACTGCTGCACACCGTGGTTGCGCTCGCAGGTCACTGGAGGACGCGCTAACCGACCCATCATGCGACGCCGTTTGGATTGCTGGGCCAACGCCGTTCCATTTGGACTGCATCCGACTGGCAGCAAACGCTGGAAAGGCAAGAGGATGTACAGCAGTGATATCATCAGTGTTTTTTTTTTTTTTTTTTGTCTTCACTTCAAATCAGCGCTCACAGCACTAGTGCCGTTTACTCCAACCCGTGGTCACACAGAAGAGCCCCTCTCTACCCTCCCTTCCTGCGGTACTTTGCCTTCGATATTTAATGCGAGAAGAGTTCAGCACTCTCTTCCCTCTGTGTACACACGAACTAGCGCTATCCACTATGTAGTATGTAGGCCAGGAGCGGAAGCGAGAGAAAAACTCACGCTGTGCAAGAAAAGTTTCGAGGATACCAACTAGACCACAGGGGCGACCGGCTGGACTAAGAAAAAGACTCGAAATAAGTCCAGTACCCAGCCGGTTTTTCTCCACTCACTGAAAAGACTCCGCCACATCCCGTTCCACTGTGGGTACATCTCGAATGGGTAGTCTTTCTGTGCGTGTATTTACTAAGTACACACACTGCGTGCCGGAGCACGCAAACGCGTCACGCGGCGGCGAATCTTTGCCGTGCATGCAAGCTGGTGTCGAACTTTACCCTTTGTACAAAGTCTTTCTGTGAGGTTATGTTTACTTTCTAAAAAGGCATCACCATGAGTAGGGTCGTTAACGCGCAGGCGTCCCCAAAACGCATCGCCACGCCGAGTCGAGAAAGTCAAGTCTCGAGTTCCTAGATTATTGGTAGAGAACCCGGATTTTATTCCTGGAGACAACGAACACACGGCGGGCACAACAGTCTTGATTTTTTGTTGCTGTATTTTCCGCCGGGATCTGTTTTGTTGTCCCGATCAATCCGCTCTCAGTAAATAACGCATTTTTTTTTAGCTATATACGTTTTTTTCTGACTCGCGGGCCTTATTTTGTTTTCTCGGACGATTTCTCGCAACACGTTTTGCTTCTTCCGCCACAGGCAGTGGCTGTCGAGAAACCCGTGGCGGGTTCGGTGGAGGAAATCGTACAAGCCCACGCAATCTGTCGCGACAATGACGTCCCGCTCTACTGCTCCTTTCAGAGGCAGGTTTGAGTGGGGTGTTGGTTTCAACCCGGCGGGGAGGAGGGTGGTGGGGGCGGGTTGGGGGGGCTCAGGAAGCAGCACGTTGTTGTTCGAGAGGCGTAGTAGGTCTTTAGCGCCCTGATCAGTCGATGTTCCGTGTGGTGGTGTTATGTAAGTGAGTACAGAGGCTGCGCACCACCATCTCTTAGCTTCTCTCTGGGAGCGATATCTCCGTGTGTGCCCCGAGCGACACTTCCAGCGATAGATACTGCTGTACGTCCAGAGCGCTTGATACAACAATCGGCACGTATAATATTTCTCCCTTTTGGTGTCTTGTTCACCTTTTTCCGACCCGACGGGAAATTCCAAGCGAATTTTTTTCGGTGTGTCGACATGGGGTATGCGGGTGAGCCCAACGCTCGAGGCATCCGTTCTTACAGGATATGTGTCGTCGTCCCCGCGTTCTTAACGGCACCACCTTTTTCAAGAGCATTTTGCCCCGCAGAATGAGAAAATGGTGGGTACAATATCATCGACACCTTCTTCCCCCGATTTAAGAACACTTTATAAGGGAAATCATTTGAGCCGGGGCGACTGCTGTACTTCGAGAGCACCGGCACGAAAGTTAGTTTCCTCGGAGAGAGTAGAGCCATGATTTGAGGTCCTACCGAGCACGGAGTGCCGCCACCGCTTACACACACAACAAGCAGACAGGTTGAGAGGTCCCCGCCGGCTGGCGACTTGAAACGAACACCGGACCAGACATCCAGCACCAGAAAGCCTTCCCTCTTGCACAGTGCCTTGTCACCGCCCACGAGGATAGCGGACGGTTCCTCCGCCGCGTTGTGGTCCGCGATCGATCGCTGCTCATCGCACGGCTTGGTTTCCACGATAGGCCCCCCGCCCCTTCCGCCGCTCATAGGTACGAGCCTGTTGCACCCCCTGAAAACTTGTCCCCCCGCAGGCGAACAGATCGGACGTACGAACAACTTGCAGCCGCCGTTCGAAAGGGCGCTGTCGGCGCCGTCCGGTCCGTCCACGCCATCTTCAGGGACCACCCGGTGCCGTCCATAGAGTTTTTGAAGCAGGTACGGTGTGCCTCTCACCCCCCCCCCCGCCCCCCCTGTCGGCCTTCTGCTAGACAAGCCATCCCTAGGCATTTTTCTTTGTTTGGAACGTCGCGGTCGCCCCCGCCACGCTGCTGCTACAAGCTACGAGTGCGTCCCGCCGCCACCTACTCTGTGCACAGATTTCATTGGTTGGCGTGTGTCGTGGTGTGTGGCGTGAGAAACCGGCGACGTGGTACCCTTTGCGGTCGCGAAGAGCTACACAAGGCATTGTTTTATGGCCTTATCGCTATCATCATCGTCGTCATCGTCGCTTCCGCGACTATCAACCCGAACGGGAACTCCGGGTCGTAGGTTCTTCTGGGCGGCCGCCCCCGCCACCACCGTTGCTACCCTCTATCCGTACCTCTAACCACCGCTGCTACTCTCTACTCTATAACCGCCGGTGCTACTGGCTGTCGATGCTTGGCACAACGTGCCGATGGATCGGGTGTCATTTGGGCGACGCCTCGTCGAAGGGAGGCGATATCTTCCACGACCTCGCGCCCCACGATTGCGACTTCGTCTGCTTCAGCCTTGGACTGGGAGAGCCGAACGAGGTACGATGCATTTACCACATTGTTCGCCGGATATGCTATTTGTACCTGATTTCGCGCGGACGCTTGCTGTGACAAGTGGTGGCCCAGAAGGGAACCAACCGTGTTTGTTTGTTGTGCAATTGTGGCGCCCCGCCCGCTGTGTGCAAAACTCTCACCTCCGGACCTACCCCCCCCCCCCCCCCCAAATACCCTACCCTTTCGTTGAAAATTTGTTATCCCTCTTCC